GGTGAGGCTGATTCTGATGTTCCAGGTGGACCTGAATCCTAGGGGGACAGGATGCTCGGGCAGGTTTTGGAGGCTGAGTGGAGGGGACTTGGTATGTTGGCTGCGGTGGGAAGTGGGGACAGAGGAAGGGAAATTGCCTGTGACGCTTCCCCGTGTCCTAGGGCCTGTATGGCTGAGATGCCACTTAGACATCGCAGTGGGTGTCTGTGAATCCACAAATAGAGTTGGGAGGGTGTAGACGGTGACCATGCAGCAGACCCTCTAGGGAGAGTGGAGACAGAGGAGGCCAGGCACTGTCCTTGAGCTTCGACCGTGAGAGGTTTTGAAGGGAGGAAGGCAGAGGTCCCAGCACCCAGGGTACCCCTTGCCAGTTACGGTGGTAAGAGGTGTTGGGAGAACTCGGTTTTGCACGGCGGAGGTAGATCCGAAACTCTCTGCATTAGGGAATTGCTGCTCAGGTCGCCTGGTTCATCTCATGTGGACAGGGAGACGCTTGCTTTTGGAGGAAAGAAAAGCTGTCAGGGTGTCGGGGAGAAAATTTCTGGTCTTGGGTTGATGTGGATTTTGCTCCTCCTCCTGGGGGTGTGTGTGTGTGTCCCACAAAAGCAAGCTCTCAAGGCAGCTCCTCTGCAGTGGCCCAGAACACGGGGGTGCTCAGAAAGACGGCTGTCCTGTGAGCCCCATCTTGGAGGGTCCCCAAGATGCCCCTCTGAGCACAGAAATGGGTCTTGTGAGTCTAGGATGCTCATGTGGCCAAGACGTACCCTGTCCCGTGGCTCAAGGCCGGGCCTGGTTCAGGGTCTGCTGTGCAGGGGTCCAGATCTGGATGAGGCGAGGGGACCCAACCTCGCCCGTTCCTGGAGCACCTGCGAGGCCAGACGTGAGCCAGGTGCAGCAGTGGACAGACGTGGACCCCAACGCTGACCTCCCGGCCATGACGTGGAGAGCCAAGGGCAGCTGGCATCCTGGGGGCCTTCCAGGCAGATCTGCTGGTGAGGGTGCGGGTGTGCCCTTTAACCAGGGCAGAGGTGGGCCAGAAGGGCGGCCGTGGCTCATGGCTGCTGTGCTCCCGCAACAGGACGAAGCCAGCACAGCCCCTCCCTCCAGAGACCCAGCGGGGGCTGCGCCCTAAGTAGACCTCAAGACGGGCAGGTCAAGGGGTCTCTGAGTCGCTGACGGGGACAATGGTGGACCAAGAAGGCTTCTCTGGGTCCAAATTCCTTCCCCAAAGGAAAAGGAGTGAGTGGGGCAGAGGATGGGAGTGGCCAGCGTGGGCACAGCTCAGGACAGGGACAGGTGAGCTGGGAACGGGTACAGGGGCGCAGGGCGGGGGCAGCCCCACCTGCATTAGGAAAGCAGCTCGCTGGGGCCCGGGGGCAGTGGAGGGGCGGGGACCACAGCTGGACAGAGCCCGAGGCCCGGGGACTCCTGGGCAGTCCCTGGGGAAGCCTCTGCTCTGTCCCCTCCAGTGCCGGGGCGTCCCACACCAGGAGGGGCGTTTCCTGCTCCCCCATCTGGTTTAGGGAGCCGGGGACTTGAGTGAGAGACCCCTCCCCCAAGGAGCTGAGGTGGGACGGGGGTCATTGCTCAGGGAGACCAGAAGCTGGGGTTGGAGGTCCGTGGGACGGAAGTTCAGTCACAGTGACAGGGCCACTCTGCCTGGACAGGCACAGAGTGCCGGACACTCTGCCTCCTCCAGCTGCCCGAGGCCTGGCTAATATTCCGGGGGGACGGCTGGCCATCCAGGTATCTGGTAATTGATGCCAGGTGCAGTGCAGCCACACACCCCTGACCCCATGAGGACAAAGGACACAGTGATGTCAAGTGTGAGGAAGGACCTAGGGCAGGCAGGACAGGTGGCACCCACGTCGGGACACTTGGTGCCCAGGTGAGCTGAGCGGATTCTTGCCTCCTTCCTGGGGGAGGTGCATCTCCCTGAGCTCTCGTTTCTTGGGCTGGGGGAGGGGAGCCTCCTGGGGGAGGCCACGTCCAGGCTGGGACACTGCAGCCCGAGCCCTCTGCGATGCCACCGCTCCAGCAAGCCGGGCTCCTGGTTAGGTCTGCAGTGCTGTGGCCTCGGGCACGTGCCTCCGACTCTCTGGGCCGTGGTTTCCTCTGGTGTCGCTGTTGTCACAGCTGCTTGGAGCCTGGATGTCCCTTTGACAGATGATGAAGGGGCGGCTTTGGCCCTGCAGCTCGTCTCTCGGGGCTGACTGGTCCTCGTCATTCCAGGCGTGCACATGCCGCGAGAGCTGGAGCTCGGGTAGGCCTGGGGTTGAGCGGCGCTCAGCAGGCAGTGGCAGGTGAGTGCCAGTTCCGCAGCTCAGGGCTCCACACGGCCACCGCGCACCAAGGGCCCTGCCTCTGGGCTCGCGTCCTGGGGGAAATGGACAGCTGCCCTCCCAGCCAGCAGGGAGGGGCCAGCAGGTGGCTGGGCTGTCGGGCACTGCCCCTCGCAGGGTGGCTGCTCTCGCTGGGTGTCCCAGTATGGGGTGGGGGGGTTCTGAGGCCCCCCTGGGGATTCTCGCCTGGAGAAGGGCCTGGGGTCTGCTCTGGGGCTCCCAGTGCCACTCTCTGGGGCTGGGTTTATGCGAGTAGTGACGGGACTGTTTGTTGGAAATCACTTCTGTCCTCCCCGGGGAGTTGACCAGGAGGGGGAGGACTTTAGCTGGGTTGTGACTGGAGAGTGGCATGACACCTATTAAAGGTCACATGGGCTCTGAGGGGACGGGACCCATGGGACCTGATGGTGCCCTGTGGAGTAGGGAGGAGACAGGAAGCGGGAGGGAAGGGGCTGCTGTGGTCCCAGCTGAGCGCAGGGGGAGCCGGGGAGTGGGCTGCTCCCTAGAAAGGTGGGGGAGTCGGCTGATGGGCCTCGGGGCTCGGCGAGCTGTGAGACGGGCTGCTGGTCGGGCAGCGGGACGGAGACGGTCTGACAGGCTGGGGTCTCTGGACTGTGCCATTGCTACAGCAGTCACCGTCACCTCCTGCAGCGGGTGTGTCCAGCGCAGGCTGGGGCCGGTGTAAGATCACAGGTTTGCAGACTTGCAACCCCCGGAGCAAAATCCGCTCTGAAAACGGTGCTGCCGAAATGTGGCCCCGAGGGTTGAGTAAAATAGACACGGGGAGTTCTAAACCTACCTGTGGCTCACGTGACATTGCTAGGGTCAGCAGTGTAAAGATGGCACAGAGGTCACCCAGGATGGGTGTGGGACAAGAGCAGAGGCCTGAGGCCTGCAGCACCACCCTTGTGGCCCCAGGGACTGTGTCCCCTTGTGGACAGAGGGACCGCAGAGGTCAGCGGGGGCAGATGAGAACAAGCCCAAAGCGCTGCCCTTGAAGCGGGCTTGGGGACACTTCCTCTGTGCTATGTGACAGCCCGGGTGTGTGGTGAGGGCCGGGATCTCTCCAGGCGTGAGTGCAGGGGTTCCAGATGCCTGGGGAGCCACGGTGGCTGCAGCCCGTGAACTGATGCTGGGGACGTGGCGTGAGGCGTTGAGGTGGGGGCAGCTGCCCTGGGAGCACTGGCCTCAGCTGCTGGGGACGGAGGAGCGAGTGGAAAACCGATTCCAGGAGGGCAGAGTTGCAGGGGAGAGGCCGAGCCGTGGCTGGGGCATGGTGGGAGGCAGCTGTCGCCACCCTCGGGGCTGCATGCAGGAGGACTGTTTGCCTGTCGTGGGAGGGGCCCCTGCTGATGGCTCTGGGCAGATCCTCCCGGGATGCCCCCTCCTCCCTACTCGCCTTGGGGACTGTACCCAACATAGGGACTTTGGAGGTCACATTCCTGCTGCAGCTTGTGGCTTTCAGGAGGAAGGTGGTGTGAAATGGGGAAATGGAGAAAAAGGGGTTGACAGAGGGAAAAAGAAAGGTTGACGGGGAGGAGAGAAAGAAGGGACCCTGTGCCCAGCAGAGCGCCATCCCGGGAAGTGGCTGGGAGCAGAGTCCCTGAGCAGTCGGGGACAGTTTGCTCAATACCAGGCTGGAACTCAAGGATGCGGGAGCCTGGGAGCAGCTGGGGTGTGGCCAAGGTGACCCAGGCTGTGCAGGACGGAGCCATCCCTAGGTGCTCATCCACCTGGGACTGGGTGGCTCGGTCAGCACTTGGACAAGCACCCACGGTGCTGGGCTGTGGAAAGTTCTGGAAGTAAGCGGGGAGCTACAGGGCCTGGCATGGCACTCACACCACCCACCCTCTCGACTCCGCCTTTGCCCTCCACCTCTAGTGTTCCTGGGCTCAGGGCTGCCTACAGGGACACCCTTGTGGCCCCGGGTGAGGACCCTCCGTCCCCTTGGGCAGCTCTGTCCCCAGAGCCTTCCCTGGCTGTGACTGGTATGAACTTTGAAGCCCAGGTATTTAGGGAGGGGCACAGGGCGTGGCTTTCTCTTCCTTGGGTCTCAGGTTAAAGGCCACTTTGCCCAAGAGGACTCCCAGGTCTAGCTCCTTGGCTCTTGGCCACTAGTGGCTAGAGACCAGGGACTCCACCAAGCAGGCTGCAGGGCACGGGCCACCCTAGCAGCACTGCCCAGGCCAGCAGTGCAGGGGTTGAGGCCTGGTCTACGAGAGACCTCTGCCCCGCTAGTCTTTCTCCAATTGCTCTTTATCCTTTGGTATTAACTTGCTGCCATCTGAAATTACCTAGATAGTCGACTCAACTCTGCCTCACCGTGAATGTACATCTAACACGGGGGGGTCCCTTTTGGTCTTGATCCCTGCCCAGTGCCTGGTATACAGTAGGTGCCTCGTACTTACGATTGCTCCTGTCCACTCACTCAGATGAGGGTTTGGTTTTCTTGGTGTGGAATTTTGATCCTTCAGCTCCACCCAGTGACATGGTAACTCTGGGATTTTATTCCATTTAATTCAAGCAAAATTGGGATAAGTTGACAGAATCTGTCCAGGCTGTCACGTGGACTGGCGAGGGAGCTTTCTCGGGATGTTTGTTAGCAGTCCACCTCAACCTTGGTGGCTGATAAAGAGCTGAGACCTCAGAGTGAGCATGTGACTTACAAAATGTCGCCGTTTTTATTTTGTCACTGTAAAGAGGTTTAATCAACCAGATTGTAACAAAATTACCACAGCTTATTCCAAAAGAAAATTTTAATACAAGAGATTTTAGAAAATTAAACATTTTTGTTTAAAAATTCTATCGTGTAAACCATAACGTAAGAGGGTAGTTGGGAGCCTGCCCGCTGAGGCCCACTCTGTGCCCTGGTCACCTCTGCCCAGGCTGGGGGGCCCAGGGTCTGTGCTCAGGTGAGGCCCACCCACCATGCCCAGGCTGCGGTGGTCACGCCATCCTTTCTAGGTGACTGAGATGACGGAAGGCCAGTTAGTTCCTCTGCCACCCTCGGAATCCCCGCTCTCCAGGCAGAGAACCCGGGGATGGCCTGCATGGGTCAGCTAGTGGCTTCCAAGCAGGTGGGACACGGGCAGTGGAGAGAAGCAGAGCCCTGGGCCTCCAGCGGCTCCTAGTGGGTGTCCCCAGGGCACAGGTTGGCCCACTTTGAGAGAACGTGGATTTCTCTCCTAATACAACCTTCAGGTCCAGGGAGGCCTGTTGAATTTGTAATAATTGAGGGACAGGATTTTGAGCCCCTAAAATTGAGACGCGGCTGTCGCAAGACACATGGGGGAACCGGAGCCCTTCGAGGACTGGGGCGAGCTGTGGGGTCGGAGGGTGCAGCTCGTTCCTATGATCCAGTAGCCGAGGCTTTGTTACAGAAACATAATCAAGAGACTGTTACAGAAACATTAAAATGAACTTTTTGGCACAGAAAAGTTAGATAAAATATACAGTGCTACCTTTGTGCAGGATTAGCTGATCGGAATAGCAAATATTTAACATTAGCTTTATGATGTAACGCACAATATTTTGAAAAACGTTCATTACAAAAGACCTTGTTTGTAAGTGGGTGCCAGGTCATGGTCTCCCGGCCTTGTCCAGGGTGAAGTGCTGAGCTGTCGGGACAGTTATTGCCTTTAGGGTTGAGACGTGAGCATGAGGCTCTCCTGGGACACCCCCAGCCAGGCTGCCGCGTGGGGCAGGGCTTTCTTGGGCAGGGTCTGGCCCATCAGTCACACACCAAGGCCAGAAGGTGCTGCTGGAGCCAGGGGGTCCAGAGGCTGACAGTGGTGGGAGGGCGTTTAGGGGGACCCCAGAGAACAGGGCCTGGCCTTCATGGGACAGGTCAGCTGGTGTCTCTAGGCTGCAGACAGGTGGAGCAGGAACCTGGCCTGCAATGCTGTGACCCCATCCTCAGAGTGACAAATTGTCCCATGCAGAACTGAGAGAAAGCAAGGGCCCCAGATTCCAGCATCAGGAAACGCAGCCCACAGGTGCTGTGCAGGACCCACCAGGAGGACCGTGGTCATCCTTCCTATGCGTGTGTCCGGCTGGCACCAGGTAGGCCTCTGTTATCAACCAGATAGATAGAAAGGTGGCAGGTGGGGTGTTGGGCCTTTAAAAAACAGGCGACGAAAGCTCAGAGTTCAGTGGGGGTCACATGTGCGTTGAACACCTGTGAGGGGATGACTGGCCATTCCAGGGCTTCCAAGATCAGAAGAGGTGGGCAGACTGCAAACCATGGGTCTCTTGTAGCCTCTGGGCACATCCTCTTACAATTCACATGGTGGACAGCTGGACCCACTTTCCATGAATAATTAAAGGGCAAGCAGACAGGTGACTGTGGCTCTCGGGCGATTTTTCTGAACTTCATGTGCAGAATGTTGAAGGAGGTTCCTGGTGGGGTGCTGGGGAGAGCGAGGCCAGTGCACCCCTTGCCTGCTGATCGGGTGTCTGAGGAGGGTCCACCCTGTGGAACACAGGACGAAGAAGCCATCTCGGTGTAGACCCCTGGTCAGGGGCGATGGTGGACAGTCCTGCAGCCAGCCCCTGCCCTCGAGGGCTCTGTTCACAGGGGCCAGGGCTGCTCTGCTCAGTGAGGCCACGTACGGCAGCAGTTCTGGCACCTGCAAGCTGCCAGCAGGGCCCCACGAAGCCCTTGGCTGCTTCTTGGTCGGCTGGGCACGTTGATGGCTTCCCTGCCCCCACTGGGGACCCTGCCACAGGAATCTTCTGTGATGCTTCCTTAGGAAGTGCTCTGTGCTCACCCCGGTGGCTCATTGAGATTTCAGCCAATGAACTGAGGGTTCAAGCACAAGCCCACGGTGGCCTTGCATGACCCCTCCCTCGCCTGTCATCCATGCAGGCCACGATGGCCCAGTGGACACAGGGCCACACGCTCTAGCCCAGCCCTTGCGCATGCCCTCGGTGCAGAGGTGCCATGATGCGGAGGACCGAGGGGGCTGCTGCGCTGGTCATCCTGCTCCCTGTGACAGGAGGGACAAGGGTTCCATTCCCACTGAAAGGGGACAGATGGCGCATCACAAACTGTCTTTGGGGAACAATCATGATCTGTTCAGGTGCCGTTTATAGATGGATCTGGTCCCCCAAGCCAGGTCCATGACCTGAGGCCAGCAGTGCCAGGCCTGGGTTGGAGGTGCGGAGCCCACACCCAGCCCGACGAGCTGCATGGTGGCCTCAGGGTTCCTGGGTGGTGCTGCTTCCTGCAGCCGCACCCAAGTTCAATGTCACCAGTGGCTCCTTCACAGTCTGCGGGAATGTCTGCCCACAGGAGTGATACCACGGGGTGTCCAGTGACCACTGATGGAGGGTGACAGAGCTCTGTCTGTCCAGAGGGTACAGCCAGGTGGTCAGGTTCAAAAGAGGCCAATTCCCTCGTGGGAAAGAGGCTTGGGTGGTTTCCGAGGGGACTGCCTGTGGAGCCTGGGCACTGTGCATTCCACCTGGGGACCCCAGCCCGAGCAAGGAATAGGTGGCTGTGCTGCCCTTGGCAAGCAGTGGCCAGGTGTGCCAGTCTGTCCAACGAGGAACCGCCGCACTCTCAGGACAGGGGCCTGGCAGCTCTGAGACTGACCAGTTTAATCAGGGTGGCATGTGGCCGGCAGGGAAGGTGTGCTCTCTGGGTTGACCAGGTGGACGTGGTCATCACTCCAAAGCGTCAGGCCAGCTGCCGTGGCCAAGTCAGGGACAGAGTGGCTGGGATCTGGATTCTGCTGAGGTCAGAGGTCACCGCTCTGGGGCTCCACGTTGCGCGTCTCCCTGGGATGACCACGGGACAGCTTGGGGAAGCGGGAAGCCGCTTTGGGCCGGCTGTTCTTGTTCAGGGGCTCTCCGGGAGGGGTGATGTCACTGTAAGACAGGAGAATCGGATGGTTAGGGGCTCACAGGCATGCGGGGGGACAGCCACTACTTAGCACTCAACGTCCCATTTCCCCACTCAGCTTTGTCACTGAGGATCCACCCAAGCCAGCTGTGTGTCTGAGCTGGCTCATGAGGCCACATTCTGGACCCCATTTTAGGGTCATGAAGTAATGCAACCACCTTGATCTCCCAGCAAGGGCACATTTCACAGCCAAAGAGGAGAAACTTCTCTGGAAAACATGCATTTAAGGTCATAAAAGATACGCAGCAAGAGATGGGACCCACAGGAGGGGACACTGATGTCACCAAACGCCTACCCAAAAGGATGGCCTGCAGACAGGAACCCGCCGCCTTTGCTATCCCCAAGGGTAGTTACTACTCAGCACTGGAAGGACGCGCTAACGCACAGTCTGGTGGGTGTGGCGGCAGCAGCTCCTGCTGAGCCCAGGTGCAGGATTGTCCTTCTCTTTGCCATCAGGGCTCTTTAGTTTTGTGAGAAGGGGAGACGGGGGTGACCTCTCCCACGAGCTGACACCTGAGCTAGGGTGTGAACTCGAGATGAGGGTGGACTTGGCCACAAGGTCTTCTGGTGGAGCGAGAGGGTCTGCAAGGTGGGGGTGGTCCCGGCAGCAGAGCTGTGGTGTGCACAGGTCATGTGACCCAAAGACGGTATCAGAACAGTGGACAGAGTGAAGATGGAGACGGGGTCTGGGAACCACTGATGTGTTCTAATCCCTGTTCCAGGGGGTGACGCTGGACTCAGTGATGCCCAGAGTGGCTTCAAGGTCATGTTGACCGTGGCTCTGAAAGCCCAACAGGCCCATCCCCTGTTCCTCACCTCAAATCCATAACCAGCCTCCCGTCCTGCCCTCCAGGCCCACTACAGTGCCACTGGCTCCTGGGAGTGCCCAGCGCCCCGAGCGCCAGGCCTGTCTGACTCAGGCCGCCTCCGGTGTGGGCCCTCAGCAGCCCAGAGCTGATCCTCAGGAGAGCTCTGGCCGTGTTTGTAACACCAGCCTCCTGTGGACTGGGGCTGTCTGAGTTTCCATAGGGTCCTGCACCCTCAAGATCAGGTCCCAACAGTCCCCTTTCAATACGGCTGGCGACTCTGAGTATCCTCCCAGAAATGGACGCCTTCTGCTTGAAGGGTCTGCTCATCAGACACCAAGACGGCTCCCTCCCCCAGGGGAGAAGATATGGCAGGAGTCCTCCCGCCCCCTCCTTATCTCAGCTCTTCAGCTGCTCTGCGCTTTTTGAAACAGACCCCTTCATTATTTTCAGGAATAGGTAGCACAGAAAGTGGTGCAAAGTCGAAAAGCAAGTCCGCCTCACCCTGTCCTCCAGGCAGCCAGGGCTATCATCTGAAAACAATTTTCAAAGAATCTTTCTAGAGCTATTACTGTGCCCAGGAGCGTACATGATAGAGTGGATGCATATTGTTTGTTCTTTCTAAAGACAGGGGAGTATTTGCTGCTGCAGCCACTTCTCCCTCCTGTGACGCAACCATGGAGAGCTGTCACTTCAGAGATCAGCCGTGTCATTCTGGTGCCAGGGATGGCAACTTTAAAGGGCCAGAGGTTAAGTGTTGTAGGCTTGGGGACCACCTGGTCTCTGTTGGAGCAATGTGTGTGAGTGGGAGTGGCTGCAGCCCAGTAGCGGGTGGAAGGCAGGACCTGGCCAGCTATCTAACCCCTGGGCATTAATCACAGCTGTATGACCACACGGTACCAAGGAGGCAAGGCTGCACCTTGCTCCTCACCCCCAGGTCTCAGGCTAAATGCTGGACAGACCTTGCTTGGCGACTCCTTCAGCCCAAGCAGCACCCGGAACCCTAGCACGCCAGGCACTAGATCCCCCTTAAGTGGGTTTAGGCCACGCTGTTCTCTAGAGCTGGGTGTAGCCCTCGGGGTGGTGCAAGGGAGGCAGCGGGCTGGGCCTCCCAGGCGAGGCCCTGTCTCCACCCCTCACCACCATGCTGACTTGAGTAAGCGCCAGACCTCCACCTCCGAGCTCTTCCCTCTGCTGTACGTCCAAGACCTGCCCAGCTGACCTCACAGCTGCAGGCCCAGTCCCTGCCCACCACCCCTCTCTTGCCCCACACATACCTGGTCCCCTTCACAGTTGCCAACCCAACTTGTGCCTGGGGTAGAGTTGGGATCGCCTACTTTTCCACCACGCTGGAGCCGGGCCCTGCCTGTCGAGTGCTGTGTAGTCTCCCAAAGCCCCTGGCACGGCAGGTGCTGCAGGACCCGCACCCAGGGCCCAGGAAGACGGGTCCAGGTTCTGCTGGAGCCCCTCTGACTATCTCGGGTTCCTGCCGAGTTGGAACCAGAGGATGTGCCTGGTGTGGCTTGGAGAGGGGATACGGGCTGGTGAGTGCGCGAGGCTTAAGGGAGGGCCACCAACGGTGCCACATAGAGGGTTTATGGCACCAATTCTAGAAGAAATACAAACTACAGTGCACTGTCCTCTGAGATGGTGGCCTTAGAAAGTGTGGGACCACCACTGAGGACTGGATGGCAGCAGGCAGGGGAGCTGGCAGGATCTGTTTTCCCGAGCTGCTGGGTACAAGTCACCCGGAGCCTTCAACCACAGTTGGAGGTCACGGGTCCAAAACGGGCCTCCCAGTGCTGAAATCGGCCCAGACGCAGCCAGAAGGCACAGGTGTCCTGGGCAGCCTCCTCCCTGTGTGGCACGGTGAGGCCTAGGCCTGGTGCCATGCAGGCCAACCCTGCGGCCACCCTCTGTGGGAGAGCGTTTAACCCTCCCGGTCGCCTGCTGGGATTGAAGGATATCAACCCCGTCTCAGGCCAAGAGGCCGAGTGTGGGGGGACCTGGCCCAACACTTCAGCGTCCCACCTGTGACCTGCTGAGGGCGCCTCCTCGCAGGACTGGGCTCTGGAGCCACAAGTTACTGCTTTATTATTTACTGGATGTGGGTTGAAGAGTGAGCCCCTCCCCAACACTACATGTCAGGGGTCTAAGGCACCAGGCGGTGGCTTCTCTCTTCCTGCCACGATGGCCTGTTGTGAATTGTCAAGATCCCTTTTCTTAGGGGGCAGGAGAGAGTGCTGGTGTCTGGTCACATCGCACCTTGGCCACTCGCCGTCCGTAGGCTACCAGGGCAGGATGTTCCTTTCTCTCCTTCCCAAGAACATGTGACTGGAGGTGCGACACCTAGTCCAGACGCAGTGAGCACGCATCCCTGGTAAACACCAGTTGTGTTATCAGCTGGACCCTGCGCTCCCTGGTGACATCTCTAGCTCTCCTTACACCCAGAGGACAGCGGGAGAACTGACTTCTCTGGGCTCCAGTTACTCTCGAGTTACTGAGTCTGACTGTCACACTCTGGTTCCTTATTGCCCAAACTGAGTAACGGTGACCACCCTCTAGAGACTTGTGAGGAACCTACAGCATCCAGCCGGGTGACGGCCCCGGGTACGGGCGCAGCACCTGCAGTGAGGCCCGGGCCGTGGGGGGCCTTCCCAGGTCACCTGTCTCGCCGACTCCCTGCCCCACTCAGGGCCATGGAGGGGCGCTGCAGCAGCAAGGCCACACTCTAGCCACCCGCCCCCTGAAATGCCACACCAACAGCCCTGAGACTGAAGGTAGGGAAGGGCCTCCATGGTCACTCCCAGGGTCAGACGGGGGCCTTTCTCACCACCAATGGCATTTTCCAAGAATTGACTGATCAGCTTCATCCTCAGCCCAACCTGTTCAACTGGCACAGCCCTGAAAACATGCTGATGTCACCTGGGGGCTCGGCCCAAGCCTAGGAGGACACAGGCTTAGCCCCAAGATCCACACTTGAACTTGGTAGCACCTCCCGTTGCTGCCTCAAGGAACCTGTCACTCAGCTAGGAGGTGCCCATACTTCTGCTCTCCCAAGAAAGATGCCTTATTTCCCCTCTCACTGCAAACCCCACGCCTGCTCAGGTGACAGCGCTGCCCCCACCTTGGAGGTAAGGAAGGTGACGGGGATGCAGTTATCATAGGTGTCTGGCTACTTGGGGGAAAGTCCAGTCTTTCTGCTGCCCCCCCTGGGCAATCTTCCCTCCTGCCTAGGCTCAGCCAGGCCTGTCCTGCTTTTGAGAGTGCAGATGGCCAGCCCCGGCGGGTTGTGCTCTCTACGGCTGCGCCTTCGCCTTCGATACTTTAATGGCTCAAAAGGCAACATGTGGCCCCAGGAGAGACTATGGGGGGGGGGGGAGGAGAAAGAGACCTGACTGTGTTTACAGGGTGAGGGGGCGTTCTCAAAGCTGCCTTGCTAGGGTGGCCCTGGCCTGGAGCTTTGCACTCTTGGGCTAGCTGTCCCCAACCCTCTGTGCACCAGCCACCCCCTCATGGATTCCAGCATCACCCAAAGCCCCACCACTGGCGAGGATGTGGCTGGTCCCAAGCTGCAGTGCAGCTTTCCCCAGTCGTCGCTGGCCCCTGGCCAAGGTGCAGAAAGCCTTGGAGGCTGGAAAGGCCTGGACCTCATGTTGGTGCCTGCAGCACCTTTGCCTGTGGCTTCCGGGGCCCCGTTTGTGCACAGTCTTCTGCCAGCTCCTCCTGTGCTCAGTCCTAGATCCCTCACCAGGCCCGGGGCATGACAGGGCCCCTCCAGGCTCCAAGGCCACTCAACGGCTCTGGGGGGCTGACGGGCATCTCTCACACCACCCTGTTCCTCATGCCAACACTGAGGACATGTCCCAGACTCCTCACATCCCCACTGAGCAGATCTTGTTGGGTCTGCCTTCAGAGTGCAGCGGGTCACGGCCAGCCCTCCCAGCCTGGCCAAACGCCATCCTGTGACTGTTTCCTTCTTCTCCTCTGGGGCTGGCAGGGTGCCCCCTTGACCACAGATTGCATAGGACCTGAGTGTCCTCCCCCGTCTGGCCTCGCACTGCCGGGGCCTTGGCATGGGTGTGCCTCTGCTGCCCCAGCAATCGCCACCTGACACCCAGGTCCTCCTGGCCACTTCCTGCTCAGTGTTCAAGATGGGG